CGGAAATTTTTGCGTGTAGGGGCCCTTAAGAAGAGGGTTTCTTATTTTCGAAAAAAAATATTATAGTTTTAATTGTTATGTATCGATATATTATTTTCGGCACAATCAGGTCTCCTTATATGGCGCCGGTGTTGAGAGGTTAATTCCATGCAGGATCAAGGCTTTTAATTAGTATCTTAGTCGCATACGATTATGCGGCCGATTATGCGAATAAAATGCAGATCGTTTCTATAGTTGTTGACAATCGATAACTATAGAAACTAAAAATAATCGTATCTCCTCTTCCCAAATTGTCCACATTTGTTTCCAAGCTGAGGGACATTTGGAGAGAATTTGCTGTAGTCATTTTCTCTACTGCTCGTGAAACGTTGTTCGACTAGAAATACGGTAAATTCTCTCGAATTGAATTAAGAAGAATTTACTGTATCCCTATTATTTAGGTTTACGGCAGCTGTTTAAATGACCGGTTCCAAATGTTGTATTTTACGATTATTAAAATCGTAAACATACACTTATGGAAACTTGATTCAATAGCGTAGTTTCTTTCAGTGTACACTACGAAAAAAATCGCTAGAAATTCGAATAAACATATTTTTATTACTTCGACCACGTGATGTAAAATAGTTGCATATTAGCGCTAGTGTTAATATTATCTCACTGTGGTTTATCCCCTGTGTCATTTCGATGAATTGTGTCATCAGCCACGTTCACCGATGCGATTGAACGGTACGAAGAAATACAGTGTTTACAGGTTGTGCATCATTCTAACGGGCATTTCCTGTAGAACTGTTAGGAACGCGGAATGCGTCGAGTCTGTCGATGAAACTTTAACAAAACAGGAAGTGTAATATGGTAACTGCTTTTTGTTCCTGCGAAGCAGAAGTTCGCATCGAATCGGTCTATCCCTTATGATTTACAGTTGTGTCAGGAAACCCTGTGTTTGACACCTACAATAGCACCTCATTGATAAATCAGCGATGTTTTGACACCTTAACATAATCATACGAATGTTCGAATCGTCGTTACACGAGTAATATCATTCGTCTTTCAGTTCCTGCTCAGAAACGTGTTTGACTACATTTCTTCTTCCCTTTAGCGAATCCATCTCTGTTTAGGATTCACGCATCGGTTAGTTTTCGCAAATGGACGTCTAAGAAAGCTAAGAGTGCGTTCCTTTTTTTTTGCAGAACACGTGTTCGAATGACGGATGCTTGATCGGCGAAGTATAACTTCGGCGTATTCGTTTTATCCCGATGATATCGAATAATTATTTTCGTATCAAAACAGGCGAGCGATGTAGGGTGGAAAATAAATTTGCCTGCGACGCTACGGAGCAACGGGACATCGTTTTGACGCGCTCGACGGCCCGCTGATTTTTTTCCCGCTTATCGCGGTTTGCTTCCTCTTTCTTGCGAAACAAAGATCAAAATGGAAACGTCTCCGCGGTGCCTCGTAAGTGATATTGTATTAACTCGTAATGGGAACACATGGGCCGGTGCAGCCCGAGGGAATTTTATTTACGCTCCCTCCGCTGTGAACTTGCTCTCGCGCTTTTCTTAGTAACCTAACAAAATTCTGAATCAACCGTGCATTACAGCAATTTCTCCTTAATTTGCGCTCAGATTGCGCAGAAAAATGGACAGTTTGGGAAGAGCAGATGCGATTATTCGAGCCTTGCGGCTCGCTTTTATTGTTGCCGATTGTCAACAACTATAAAAACGAGACGCAAGGCTCGAATAGTCGTATCTCCTCTTTCCAAATTGTCCATTTTTGTGCGCAACCCGAGCGCCGATTAGGGAGAAATTACTGTATTACCATGAACGAATTACAGTGGAACGAATATCCGAGGTAAACGAAGAGGCACGGATGTGCAGATAATGGAACAGTTATTTAATTACGCCGCCAGATTTCATCTTTATTAATTGGTACGCTAAATGGTTTTGCATATGGGGTCCCTTAGATTAATCAGCGATTACATGTGAAAAGTTTTTGCATAATAGATCATTCTAATATTGTGGGACCAGATAATCGAGGTTCTCAAAAATTCTAAAAAGTTAGAATTTTTTAAAATATATCTGTCGTAATCTCTGGTTTCATCGATAAACTGAATTTTGATGCATCTATGGCTAGACCTGTAGAATACACGAATTAAAAGCGTGTTAACAAATCTCGTTTTCTATCATCATGATAATTAGCATACGAGATGCAACGTCTTTAAAATTTCAGTATTCAACATCTATGAAAATTGTGACATTAATTCTGATGCTCTGAAAATTGAGGCACAGCAAGCAATCAGGCTTGTAAAACGAATTTAGAGTTTCCAATTCTTTCAACCCCTTGGAATGTATGGAAGAGTCAAGTTCCCAAATCTAGGAACGAAAGTGAACGAAGAAATGCGGGAAACAAAAATCGTTCCGTTCTATCGGGGAAATTAAAAAGGACAAAGAAGTGATAATCAACACAGTTGTGAAAGAAATTCTAGTTCCAGGAGTTAATAAACGATGCAACTCGCAGAACATTCTGTGGCCGCAAGGAAAACCGGTGCACGTCACATTTTTTCACCTTTGAGATATCGTCGCTTAAAATTCTGGTCACTAATTGCTCTTCGTACCACTAATGTCTCCTTGTTTTATCATTTCTTGAGCCCATCGAATTTCTTTTCACGATTCTCCTCTGATAAATCGGTGAATCCTAATGCTTAATTTGCCCTCGAATTGCGGTTACTGGGTCATTTAGACCCGGTGCGTTTAAATCGCCACCTAATTAGCCAATGTTCGGGAATTCAATGAAATAAACGGCTGCTCCACTAGGATCGACAGAAAGACTAATAAGTAAAGATCGAAGTATCTTCGAAAATATGTTTATGTCGTCAATTGTAGAGTTGTGAAAACGGTCCGCCCCGTCCGATGGTGAATGCATAAACCGAAACTGCTTGAAATTGTGACACGCGGCGTTTCTCCTCGGAATTTTCGCGGTATTTTCTTCGGCGAACGTCGAGCGTTTAGGATCTGGTTTAGCATGCCAGGAAAAGCATCGATCCCGGCTTCGCCTAGGGTGCACTCTAAAATTTTTCAACTCGTCAACTCCCACGCTCTCCGCGGCTGGTTGCTTATGCATCGCCAACGCGTGAACGTCGGTTACACGCGCAAGAGGGGCTCTCGTTTAGCCCGAAACAAGGCACTATTTGCTCCTCGAATTTTCTTCGTGACAACGAGCATTACAACGCCGCGCCTAGAAAGTAATGACCGGCTCGCTTGGGGAACTCAACCGCCGCGGCACGTCATAACGCGTCATCGCCAAGACGGGCGGGCGCATCAAGGATGCGACCTATTACGGCACGAGCAAATTGCTTCCCGTCGTAAAATCCGTCCGAGTGATTGATTAGCATGAAGTTGGTCTAACTGGTTGACTCTCGCGGCTTCTTCCAACTCCGATCGGTCTCTCTACTCCTCTTTCCTACCATTTGCATGCATCAACGTAAAACACGCCGCCGCGCGGGTTCCCATAACGGTCGGCCATCGCGTATCGACTGTATCAGTGTCAATCAGTTCTATTAACTCCGCCTGTTGCAGCGTTACACCTGTCACGGCCGGATCGGAGTTTTCAGCTCGAGAACGCTGCCGAGCAATCGCATCAATCTTTTCGTACCCGTCGGACGTGCGACAAAGGGCCAAGTTCCTGTTGTTGATTGGCGGTTTCCAGCAGAAAGCTTCTTTGTTCTGGCTCTGTTGAATCGTTTAGGGTAACGCGACGCTGTATAGCTGCGTTAAACGATAATCATACAGTTTCCACGTGCTTCGGCGTAAATTTCTAACGGTTCGACGAAAGTTGATGGAAATTGCGCGCAGAAAAGTACCCGGAATTTCTTCATTTAAAGTGCCGCCTTTTTCTTTAGGATTCAGATTCGTTCTTAAGAATTCAGATTTGCGATCAATGGATAAAAAAATATTTCTTCGAAGTTTCTTCAAAGTTTTTCCAATTATGGCAATTTCGTGGACGCTTGGGAACCAATTAGATCGTTCGACAAACAGCACTTAAAATCCATCCGCAACCAATAAAAACGAGAACTGAACTGTCTATGAAGACGAGACATCGCGAGCTACACATTATGATAATATATAATCCGATGCGTTCTCAGATACGTTTATAGAGCGTGGAAAAATAAGGGACACGTGTTTTATCGTATCGCACCGTTTTCTTATTTAGGGGCTGGGACCGCCCCTCGATGTTTATGAGATGAAATACGAAAGATAATTTGAAATTAGCTCGAAAGTTATTGCCAAGCTTGTTATAAATATAATTTGCGGTATATCCGGATGGGTGAATAATTTCGAATAATATTCGTTGTGGGTTCATGATAGTCGTATGTTAAACCCGTACCATAAAAGAGCTCATAAAGATCGCGAATAAAGAATAATAGTATTGTTGCGAATCACTCCGTTTCTCTCGCGTCGCGGCATTTTATTTGCAATATATAAACTATAACACAACTCGATGCAATTATATTTCAGATCTTTCAATTTGAAATGTTGCTCGTTCGACGGTCCGATCTCGACTCTTCGATTGTCCGTTGGTAAAATACTCTTCCGTGGCAACCCCTATCTTCTATTATTTTTTAAAGAGTTGTTCACAACAGGGCAGTTTCACGTTACAGCGACTTGATTTGGACAAGTCGCCGTAACAGTATTAATAATAATAATAATATAAGTTAGCACGTTCCGTAGGAATTTTGCGGAGGGTCCTAGTTGGCGGATGGCACCGGCAAAATTTGTGCAAGAGGAGCAAAGTGTGACAAAGACATGCGCGAAGCTACAGATGGAGTAACCTCGTGTCGGTTTTTCTCGCGGGAATATTATAAAATCGACGTGGTCAGGAGCGGCGGACCGAAAGTCCGGCGAAAGATAACTGTTCAGTCGTATGCCCGGTCTCCGCGGCTCCCATGGCGTGTCAGGATCGTCCAGCCCGGGGATCATGACGATAACCGTTAGGATAGGACTTACCTTGCCGGTAGTAGGCAATTTGTAGAGCGGGCCCATGATGCTCTGCACGTTTGGACAACCGTCGGAGTTAATTAGAGTTATCTCGTTGGAGTCGACGCCGTCCATGGCCACCAGTTCCCGCACAAAGATCTCGTAAGGACTGTTCGAGTCGAGGATCTCGAACTTGAGCGCCAGGAGATCGCCTACTACGGCGGACGAGATGCCTTCGTTTCCGTTGCGGTCGGTGATCTTCATGGCGACGTTCGGCGAGTCGACGATCACCTCCTCGGACAGGACCGGAGTTATATCACTGTGGACACCGAGATCGACTTCGTTCGACACCGTTTTGTTCGTTAGGTCGTATTGGCAAGTGACGGCCACCCCCAGATCCGAACTGGTGACGATCGTGTCGTGATGTTGGATCATGACGTCGTTCAGGTAACGACCAAGGCCCTGTTGTCTCATGTTGCACTCCAAATCGTCGTAGGCCATTCGCAGCTCAAATTCCAGCGCGCCCGACACGTCCTGCATACACGAGTTCGGCGAGCCCTTCACGTAAACTTTACCGTAGAACAGCTTGGTGGTCTGGATCCTTGCGACCATGTCGCCGTCACGACAGTCGACGGAGACGTTGTAGCAGGAGCTCAGCTCGTACGTTGATCCCGCCGGATCGTCCTGATACGGTTCCTGAACATCAGAAACAGATCATCTATAAGTTCACGAAAACGATCGTCGGCCAAATTCGATTTCTCTTTTCACAGGAAATCCTCTCAGAAGTACCGCAGAGACACTCGTATCTGAAGGTTCATTTTTGCAATATCCTGATACCGAAACGTATAAATAATACCTAAAACATTTCGTTCAAGTTCTTTGCCGCGTGATCGTGTATCTAAATCATACAATGCTTAGATGATAGAACGTTTGGATACCAGGATATTGTGAAAATAAATGTTCGGACAAGGAAGTCTCTACTGGAAGCGTTTGTTAGTTCTTTAAATAAATTAGTTCTTTAAATTAACCAGCATCTATTCGACGATGCAACTTTTCGTTTCAAATTGTTGTTTTTTTTTTTTTTGGTATGTTCAACATTACTCATCTTCTGCTACGGTGACGTAACTCGAACATCGTGTTCATGGAGAAGACGAATTTGAATATTTTTAACAATGAGATCAGCAAACTAATCAAAATGACTGGTTTCTGATTTTTCATCTACAGTTCCTAATTTTACAGGAATGTTTTTGTGAGAGAAATTTTGAGACGAACTTCCTCATTCAGACACCTAATGCAAGCGAAATCGTACGGAATTTAAGTGAATTCAATCTTGACGTTGTTAGAAAACTGTTCCAGTGTTTCACGGTCATGATCCTGTAACGTGAAACTGCATCCAGTCATATTTATCGCAAGTGCATAAAATCCGCGCTCTAATGATACAGGAAAGAGAGAAGCTGCGGCTACGTTTAATACGTTTAACACGTTTAAATAGACAGCGTATCTTCGCGCGAAATAAAAATTGTCTTGCATTAGTTGCACGAAACAGAAGTCGAATGAAACTTTCATTTGTTTCAATAATTCTAATAAATTAAACACACACAATTCGCCGACATTTCAAAAACTCTTTAAATATTTTCACCATTTCAAACAGCAACTACTCAATTTCGCCATGAATGCATAAAATCTGCAGTCTAATTTCTAACAAGTCGGCAAAGAAGGAAGGACGTTTACGTAGCAGCAATTTCATTAGATTTTCTAAATTTTCTGCCTCGCTCTTAATCAGACATATGAGCGTACGTGGAAAAATGAATGAGAGACACGGCATAGGATGTGAAACGCGAGCAGAAGCCTGATTAACAAAAATTTCATCTCAAAGCAGCCGCAGTAATGGAATCACGGGAAAGCTCGTATCGAGTGCGCCGGTATGCGATGCGGCAAGCTGCGTCGACATTTTTCAGTGTGAAACGAGGCCATACTCTGGTTCCCTCCATTATCCGAGCATTTGCTTCGCGAGACATTCTTCCGAGGCCGTTGGAATATCAGCAGCACGCGCTCGGAATCGAATCAATTCGATCGGAATAATTTCGGTCGGACACGAGGCACGCTAGAATCCGGATCGAAAGCACGACAGAGCAACAATGTTTCGGCGGAGAAACAAATTATGGCTTTCGTTCGGATCGTTCCGGGCGAGACGCGATTCCCGAAGACGAATGCCGGCGAAAAGGCGGCGCGTTAAAAAGTACAAGTGATTCGGTTCGACGCGAAACGCGTCGTGGAAATAGAGCGAACTGATTCCTCAACAGGTTGGCGAGAAGAAAAGTCTTTGTCTTGACTTTCTCGGCGGTAGAGGAGGGGGGGGGGAGGGGGCGCCGTTCTCCCGTATGCACGAGAGCCGAAGAGCCACCCACAGGCTCGATAGGGTAAGCATCTGCGATGGAAACTCGATTTTCCACGAATGCGCTCTCGGCGAATTGTTCGACCTGGTTTGCACGTGTGCGGTGTAATCAGGTTTACAGAAAATCCCTACCGGCCCTTTCAAGAGTACGTGGCAGAGTGGAACGTGTGAAATGTGTGGTCTACGATTTCTAAGCGAATTCCACCGGCCGGGATTGACGTTAAATTGTTTTACTCCCGCATACCGAATGAATTAAAGTAAGTTCTCGCAAACGGAATTTAACGCGGCGAAACACCGTTCTCCCCTCGGCGAACATCCGTCTCAGAAATGTTTTATTCAATTTTTCATGCACGCCCGGACCGTGCCACTATTATTTGAACTGTTGCGCGCCTCGATCATCCGAAGATCAAACTTCGACGAGCCCGTAACCACGTTATGCAAACGCTTCCGTCGAACCTGGTATTTTCCCAGCGTTAATAGTTCATAATGTTTCGCAGAAATCGTTCGTTCTTCTTTCATAGACATTCCGATGATTCTGCATTTTTTCAAACTATTCAGACTTCCACCGCGGCTCGTTTTCTCAAATTCTTCTAGAATGCGCGCATCTTTTGCATTATATTCGTGAATTGTTCAACATGGATTAAATATTTTTATTCGAAAATTGTTAAAATTATAAAGACCCTTCCACAGGCAATTATCGAATAAATTTCTGAATTCGAGCACAGGGTGTAGTGACAATGAGGAAAGGTTTAAATAAAGCCTTGTTGATTTTGATAAAGGAACGCTTATTTGGCAGGCTTACGCCTCGATAGATTTAAGGTAAATCTCGATTGTTGTATAACAATAATTACCTTTATATTTATCGAATAAGACGTAGTCAGTTTTTATATTAAACACGTATAGGTTTATATTAATATATATGAACGAAATAAAAGACTAAAACGTGAATATTGCGGAAGAAAAAGAACAGAATTCGGTTCATCTGTTTCTATAGAAAGATTTGGTAGCATTAATGCCGACCTAAATACATACTATGGATTAGTTTCGAGATAAATCTCTGGAAACAAATGCATAGTTCTCTGACATAATTGTGCTGGCAACATCTGGCACTCCAAGTGCAAACGATTACGACTGACATACGAAGCAAAGTTCGTCCATTAGAAACCGGAATCCGACTAATTGCTGAAAGTAAGGCATCAATCCGCGTTCTTACCTGAATGTCAGAAAGAGTGGCTCTCGAATGGTGGCTAAGACGACACACCATGTCACCGGTGTCGCCGTAGTCGTAGGAATGACAACGGAAATGCGAGTTCAGACAGAGCTCCCGGCAATCCTCGGCAGTTGAAATTTCCGGGTGAACGGAGTCCACGGTTTTCAAGATACGGCCGGTGAGCTTTTTGAATTCGCAGTACTTCACGGGCTCGTCGACGCAGTGATTCTCGAGGTAGTCATAACCTTCATCCGATTGGAAGGCGTTGGATCCTGCGACTGTCATCCGGTCCATGTCTGAGAGCTCGCACAGTTTCGTTGCGTTCATGTAATTCGAAGATCTGTAACAGAAACGAAACGATCCGTTAAGTGTCTGCAAGGTGAATCCATTCTTTTTATCGAAAACGTCGTGCAGAAAATTAATAGTCTATTACACCGGATGCATCTCTAATCATTTCTGCACATTTTTATGTACTTCTCGGCGTTTTTCTTCTATTCATGTATATTTTGTTCTCCTTTTTTTCTTTGCTATCTTTGTTTAACGTGTCTTTATAAAAACGTATGGTTTTTTATTACCTATAGGCAATAAATAATAATAATAAGTTGAAGAAGAAGAAAAATAGAAATTCTTTAATTATCTACGAGTTTCAATGGATGTGCAGAACAGTCAACTGTTCTGTACCTCAGATCTATGCAAATTTTTGTTTAAAATGTAAATAAGAAATAATTCATTTCAAACCGTTATTTTTTATACATATTAAATATAAAAATATATTTTATATATATTATTTATATTATTATATATATAATATATATAAATATATTTTATGTTTTATTAGAGCCTGTTATTTGGAAGATATAATATTTCAAATATTATTATCTTCAAACAATGAATTAATACTATTATATTTTTTTATTTCAATTATGGCGAAAGAAATAATTCTCAAAGCGATATGCAACGTAAAGTACTCATTTTAAGGAATCTTTACAGATATTTTTCTCGGGATCCACCTAAGTTTGTCGCGAAGAAAATAATCGTTCTACTATTGTGGAAGATGGGAGAGGGAGATGATATTCTTTAAAAAGATATTTCCTATTAACGAATAATCATTTAATGTAATCAGACTGGTTCTTTTATCTCGCAAATGATTATAGAACAAGATATCACGTTATTTAAAATAATGTTTTAAATAATGTTATTTCACGAATGATAACGCGTATGGAAATAATTATGGAATAAAATAACATTTGATATAATATATCAAATATGTCCACAGATCTGCCGTAACTGTATCGAAATTGTAGAACAAAGTTCTGTTACGATTTATAATCGGTAGACTGCAGATTTTACGTATTTATGGCAAAAACGAGTTGATCAAGTACAAAACGGTAAAAGCATTTAAAGAATTTGGGAACACCGTTGCGCTATTTACAATTCATTAAAATGATCAGAAAACTTCAATAAATATCTAGCTCGCGTATTTTGTAATTAGCTCGGATAACTTTTGTTCTGCTTAATAATATTGCGGTCTAATAATCAGTTTCTATAGATTTTGAGAGATTTCCATTGTGAGAATACTTTCGTTTTCCGTTACCGCTTCGCGTAACAAGAAAATCTGCAAAAATCTGCGAGCGATGAAAAATGGTGCGAGCGATTACAATAAAAAACGGTCGAAATAATTTGTGAGAAGAATTTGATAAAGGACAGCAGTTCGGCAGAGCAGTATTTTGTGAAAGCTTCGTTCGGCGTAATGCACTAACTTGTTCGTTCAAAATCGCGAGCAGCGTTGAAAAATCGAGTGCTCTCGATCCTGTCGGCGTACTGTAACGACAAGCAGATAAAATCGGGGGACGGTAAATTTTTTCGACGCGCTCGCACGCCGTGGAAACGCGGCGCGGCGCGGCGGCCTGTCGATGGCTCGTTATAGCAATAAGTTAATGGCCGCGAAAGAGATATTTTTAATTTGATGATCCGTTGGAATGTTGCGTTGCGTTGCCGATTAAATTGACCTGTTGCACGAGAACCGTTAAAATGACTAGCAGGCCCTCTCTTTCTCGCGCGCTGCTCGCACGGATATTATGTTATTGTAACGATAAACTATCGTTATATACCGAAACGGTAAAGTGGAATCGCAGGATCTCTACGTCGGACAATACGCGAATTTATTAAGTTACCGCGGCGTGCTCTATAAAGGAGGATTGAATGGCTCATACTGGAATCCGGGCCAGAAATTGTAATGGTAGCTTGTTAATGGATTTCCGCGAGACTCTCCATGCTTTACCTTGCCAAATCTCGCTGAACCGCAAATTGTGGCGTAACCTTTCGCGTATTTCTCGGAACGCCAACGGTGTTCGATGTACGCTCGCGTGGACGATATAGAGCCGCGAAAAAAATGTGTTTTGGCACTGATAGCTGCTTAATTTCTTGAAAAATTATGACACGGGTACGCACGCGGAATATTGAAGAAATTGAATTGAGCAACGTTGTCCTGTTTCTCTCGAAACGTGCCAATATTTTTGTTCTTGCGAAAATGGTGTTTTCAGTTCACCGCACGGTATCGTTTTCTTTTCTAATGTTATAGAGAGAACAATTGTAATCCTCTTCGAGACATTATCGTTTCGATCTTAATATTCGTCGGTGGCTGTATAAAACGGCTCACACGTTCGTTGAAGGATGTTGCTGTGATAGTCAGTCTGGTTTATTAAGGTGGCGACTTAAATAATTCAGTAGGTGCTCCAGAAAAAAGAAAATAGCAGGAGCCTTTAAATGCTAATGCGCTTTGAATGCAAACCATGGAAGAAGTCGTTGACAAGTCGAGAGAAGCTTATGGTAAGCCGTATTCTTCTTGGCAAGTCCGATTTAAGACGCCATTTTGTATTCTCAGCCGTTGCCGTGTGTAAAAAGCCAATTTAACCGTATCCGAACGAGTCTTACGCGTCATTATACTTTTAAACATATCGCGGTAGTGTCGCTGATACCTTTATAGATAAGTCTGATATCGAACAATCCCTGTTGCACAATTCTATTCTAAAATTCCGTTCCCAAAACGTTTATGACAACTTCGGCGGCGAACAAGGATCGAGCGTTGCCGGCTACATTCGAGAAACGTTCATTTTCTTGATGATCTTAACACTTTATCGACCGCTAGCCTATTTATCGGCTTTTCGATTGCCAATGTTTATCGATCGCTAGCCTATTAATCGGCTTTTCGATTGCCAATGCTTATCGACCGATAGCCTATTAATCGACTTTTAGCTATCGACGGTTTTCGCTTCTTTACTGTTTTGTTAGTAGCTGACCTCCTGTATGCCTGTCTCTTATACACATCTAGATGTGTATAAGAGACAGGCGTAAAAGATTGGAAACCAGTATCCGGATACTGGTTTCCAATCTTTTACGCCTGTCTCTTATACACATCTAGATGTGTATAAGAGACAGGCGTAAAAGATTGGAAACCAGTATCCGGATACTGGTTTCCAATCTTTTACGCCTGTCTCTTATACACATCTAGATGTGTATAAGAGACAGGCGTAAAAGATTGGAAACCAGTATCCGGATACTGGTTTCCAATCTTTTACGCCTGTCTCTTATACACATCTAGATGTGTATAAGAGACAGGCGTAAAAGATTGGAAACCAGTATCCGGATACTGGTTTCCAATCTTTTACGCCTGTCTCTTATACACATCTAGATGTGTATAAGAGACAGGCGTAAAAGATTGGAAACCAGTATCCGGATACTGGTTTCCAATCTTTTACGCCTGTCTCTTATACACATCTAGATGTGTATAAGAGACAGGCGTAAAAGATTGGAAACCAGTATCCGGATACTGGTTTCCAATCTTTTACGCCTGTCTCTTATACACATCTAGATGTGTATAAGAGACAGGCGTAAAAGATTGGAAACCAGTATCCGGATACTGGTTTCCAATCTTTTACGCCTGTCTCTTATACACATCTAGATGTGTATAAGAGACAGGCGTAAAAGATTGGAAACCAGTATCCGGATACTGGTTTCCAATCTTTTACGCCTGTCTCTTATACACATCTAGATGTGTATAAGAGACAGGCGTAAAAGATTGGAAACCAGTATCCGGATACTGGTTTCCAATCTTTTACGCCTGTCTCTTATACACATCTAGATGTGTATAAGAGACAGGCGTAAAAGATTGGAAACCAGTATCCGGATACTGGTTTCCAATCTTTTACGCCTGTCTCTTATACACATCTAGATGTGTATAAGAGACAGGCGTAAAAGATTGGAAACCAGTATCCGGATACTGGTTTCCAATCTTTTACGCCTGTCTCTTATACACATCTAGATGTGTATAAGAGACAGGCGTAAAAGATTGGAAACCAGTATCCGGATACTGGTTTCCAATCTTTTACGCCTGTCTCTTATACACATCTAGATGTGTATAAGAGACAGCCTGTATGCTGACCTCCCCATATCCTTATGAATTATAATTATAATAATTATATTATTATTTATTATTATTTTTAAAGGAATAAGCACAACACAATGAATAGCGAAAATTTAGCCGGTACTGGGAGCAAATGCGCGCGCGACTAAGCCAGTCCTTACTGAGTGGCAGCCTCAACCACGACCGGACGATAAAGTGTTAATAAATGAAACTTAGAACTGCTTCTTCGTGAATTTTGTAATTATTATTTTTTTACAAAGTGTTTACAACTTCTCTCCGAAACCTCGGCAAATTACATCGAGTTCTCTCAGTATTCTCCGCTCAGGTGCAACATTTTCGCGGCCGGCACTGAAAAGGTTAAGATCGTTACCTATTTGTTTCGATCAAATTTGATCGATTGAAAGTGGAAGCACACACCAAATTCTACAGTGGTCGAAAAATCATGTCTTCTAAAAGTGAAATCTCTAACTATGTGTTAGATCGCAACCATTCACGCCGGACTCTCGGAACACTAATTTACCGTCATTTGCTCGCAAGTCAACCAAGCGGTTTCTTGCCGGTCGTTAACGTCTACACGCGGCGAACGTAATGTCAGTAGATTTCTACAGAAATAAGAACGTTTAGTTGTTGTTTCTTCTTTCTTATTTCTACTCTCGTTTTTGTTACCGACCATCGCAAATGCGCCAACTATTCGGATATCCCAAGCGTTCGCAGGAAATTGCGTTTTAATATGAATACAGATAGATGCCTAATCCCAGGATTCATAAACGTACAGTCTACAAAGAACGACCGTTTCTCATCTTCTTTCCGCTCCATGAAAACTTGATTAACCCTCGTCCGTTTCTGGTGTCAGTTTGACATTGTTTTATAAGTTATGGAAATATCATATCATAGTATATTATTTTGTTACTTGTTTG